TCCCCAGAGTCACACCCACCTCTCGTTCTTATGCACGCCCCTCTCCTTCTTAGACATGCCCCCTCCTCAACAGGCACCAGAGGTTGGCCAGGCTGCCCAGCGCATAGAAATGATCAGACACACCCCACTTCTGGTCAGACACACCCCCTCCCTTCCTCAGACATGCCCCCGCTCTCTTCCTCAGAGATGCCCCCTCTCTCTTCCTCAGAGATGCCCCCTCTCTCTTCCTCAGAGGTGCCCCCTCTCTCTTCCTCAGAGATGCCCCCTCTCTCTTCCTCAGAGGTGCCCCCTCTCTCTTCCTCAGAGGTGCCCCCTCTCTCTTCCTCAGAGATGCCCCCACTCTCTTCCTCAGAGATGCCCCCACTCTTCCTCAGAGATGCCCCCTCTCTCTTCCTCAGACACGCCCCCTCTCTCTTCCTCAGAGGTGCCCCCTCTCTCTTCCTCAGAGATGCCCCCTCTCTCTTCCTCAGAGATGCCCCCTCTCTCTTCCTCAGAGGTGCCCCCTCTCTCTTCCTCAGAGATGCCCCCTCTCTCTTCCTCAGAGGTGCCCCCTCTCTCTTCCTCAGAGGTGCCCCCTCTCTCTTCCTCAGAGATGCCCCCACTCTCTTCCTCAGAGATGCCCCCACTCTTCCTCAGAGATGCCCCCTCTCTCTTCCTCAGACACGCCCCCTCCCTTCCTCAGACATGCCCCCTCTCTCTTCCTCAGACATGCCCCCTCTCTCTTCCTCAGACATGCCCCCTCTCTCTTCCTCAGACATGCCCCCTCTCTCTTCCTCAGACATGCCCCCACTCTCTTCCTCAGACATGCCCCCTCTCTCTTCCTCAGACATGCCCCCTCTCTCTTCCTCAGACATGCCCCCTCTCTCTTCCTCAGACATGCCCCCTCTCTCTTCCTCAGACATGCCCCCTCTCTCTTCCTCAGACATGCCCCCTCTCTCTTCCTCAGACATGCCCCCTCTCTCTTCCTCAGACATGCCCCCTCTCTCTTCCTCAGACATGCCCCCTCTCTCTTCCTCAGACATGCCCCCTCTCTCTTCCTCAGACATGCCCCCTCTCTCTTCCTCAGACATGCCCCCTCTCTCTTCCTCAGACATGCCCCCTCTCTCTTCCTCAGACATGCCCCCTCTCTCTTCCTCAGACATGCCCCCTCTCTCTTCCTCAGACATGCCCCCTCTCTCTTCCTCAGACATGCCCCCTCTCTCTTCCTCAGACATGCCCCCTCTCTCTTCCTCAGACATGCCCCCTCTCTCTTCCTCAGACATGCCCCCTCTCTCTTCCTCAGACATGCCCCCTCTCTCTTCCTCAGACATGCCCCCTCTCTCTTCCTCAGACATGCCCCCTCTCTCTTCCTCAGACATGCCCCCTCTCTCTTCCTCAGACATGCCCCCTCTCTCTTCCTCAGACATGCCCCCTCTCTCTTCCTCAGACATGCCCCCTCTCTCTTCCTCAGACATGCCCCCTCTCTCTTCCTCAGACATGCCCCCTCTCTCTTCCTCAGACATGCCCCCTCTCTCTTCCTCAGACATGCCCCCTCTCTCTTCCTCAGACATGCCCCCTCTCTCTTCCTCAGACATGCCCCCTCTCTCTTCCTCAGACATGCCCCCTCTCTCTTCCTCAGACATGCCCCCTCTCTCTTCCTCAGACATGCCCCCTCTCTCTTCCTCAGACATGCCCCCTCTCTCTTCCTCAGACATGCCCCCTCTCTCTTCCTCAGACATGCCCCCTCTCTCTTCCTCAGACATGCCCCCTCTCTCTTCCTCAGACATGCCCCCTCTCTCTTCCTCAGACATGCCCCCTCTCTCTTCCTCAGACATGCCCCCTCTCTCTTCCTCAGACATGCCCCCTCTCTCTTCCTCAGACATGCCCCCTCTCTCTTCCTCAGACATGCCCCCTCCTCAACAGGAACAAGAGGTTGACCAGGCTGCCCAGTGCATTCTGTAATCCAATAGGAATGATCAGACACACCCCACTTCTCGTCAGACACACCCCCTCCCTTCCTCAGGCATGCCCCCACTCATTCTCAGGCATGCCCCCGCTCTCTTCCTCAGAGGTGCCCCCGCTCTTCCTCAGAGGTGCCCCGGCTCTTCCTCAGAGGTGCCCCCTCTCATTCCCAGACACTCTTCTTCAATAGGCACCAGAGCTTGACCAGGCTGCCCAGTGCCAATCGGTAATCCAACAGGCCGGGTCACACACTCCCCCTCCCATCATTAGAACCACAGGTGCGTCCTCAGGTTTCTAGAATGAACCATTATCCCCCTTCTACTACAGGCATAGAGGGGCTGAGGAACCAAGGAAGGACCACCATGACCCGGGACATCAGAGGAACAAGTCCGGGCCTACAGTTGCCTATCCACCACACACACACACCCGGCTCGGCGCTCACCTCGATGATGTCGGCGTTAGTCCGGCTCTCGTGAGGCTCGTTGTACTCGGTGTATTTCAGCAGCACCTTGTCCATGTCGGTGCTGGCATACTGGAACAGTTTGTTTGAGTGGTTGAAGATGATGAGGGCGATCTCGCAGTCGCACAGGACGCTCAGCTCGTAGGCCTTCTTCATCAGGCCGAACTTGCGCTTGGTGAACGTCACCTGCCAAGAGGAGAGAAAAAAAAAGAAGCGTCAAAATGGCCACCGAGAGCCACGCCAACCGGTCTGCAACAAAGTTTCCAACCCGGAGGGAGGGAAGCGGAGGTCAAACCACACGCGTGCGCAGCTGTCGCCGCGCTCGTGCGTCCTCGTGAATCCTTCCACCCCCTTCGTTGGGGGATATACGACGGGGGACCTCTCATTGTTCTCAGCTGCTGTGCTACGGACGCAAAGAGCACCTGTTGCGTCCTCCCGGGCCACCTGTTCTCCCAGTGTGACCGACGCGCAAAGCCGGGCCATTTGCTTCGCGTGGCGGGAATGAAGACTCCCATTGAGGTCTACGCACGCCGCGTGCGCCGGCGGAGAGAGCCATCCACATTCAGCCATTAAAGAGCACCTGTCACCATCATTCTTCACACTGTGCTGAGAAGCGTTCGTGGACGACCCC